CAATATTAAAGTAGAAACGGCAGCTGGTTTGCAGTGAATCGTAAATACACAGTTAAACTCAAAAGTTAATGCAAAAACTTCAGGATGCGAAGCCAAGACCAATGCTTTTTTCTAATCTAATCTTTTCTAGGTTAAATACGCTTTGTATACCGAATAATAAGTAGTGTTGTTAGAGTTCTCTTCTATGTTGATCACAAGAATTGCAACGTACAGTGGTTGCACTAGTAAACCTACACCCAGATCAGACACAGCCAGTCTTAGCAGCAATGTTTTTAAAGTCTTAGGCAACGACGACGTTTTTCTGAGCGCTTGTACTGTTATGATATCTAACACGATGGTGGTTAAACACAAGAAAGCGTTGAAGACGCAATTAACAACAAGTGTCAAATGCACGCCTTAAGAACTTGCCATTTTTGCAAAGGACCCTGATCAGTGTTCAGTTTCTAGTATAACAATGCAAAGGAACTTCATTGCTTTGGAGGAATCATCCGTTTTCGAATGAGACTGACCTTCAGCTTCCGCCATTGAATGGAACGTTTTATACAGTCTTAAGTTTTAGCAGCTGTGTAGAACTTTTGAGGAACTCTGCAAGAAGAGACTGATGCTGGAAATAAGTCTTTGCGAGACTTACCGAATATTCTTCAGAGATTCTCTTCCTCCTCCGATGGCAATTGGTTTTTAACTGAGTACTGTTGAGTCTTCCGCGACAATAGTGAAAAAAAGTCCCTAACTCTTACTTATAATATACAAACTGGCCTTGATTGAAATGAAAGCTGTGCTTGTCTAAACACGGAATTTAAAATTTAAATGTGACGTCATCACTCAGTAATTTGAATATATTTTCCTTTTAAGCGAAACGCGATAGGTCGAACTTTGTAAGTGTTGAAGTTCGTCAGTCAAAAAGGAGGAAAGTTGTATGAAACTACTCACGCAATATTAAATTAGCATCGGCGGTAGGTTTTCAATGAATAAGAAAATATACAGTCGAACAAACAGAGTTGAGCGATGAATTAATAAGGGTAATTGAACTGAGTGGAGTGCAATTTGGTCTGAAATCATACGCGTGATTTCAAAATCGAACGAGCGCGCAGCGCGAGTTCGATTTTAAATCACAAGTATGATTTCAGGCCAAAATTGCACGGCACGAAGTTCAATTACCACTTTATTACTTCCATTTTGAAATGGCAGAATTTAGTTAGTACTAATATATTATTGATTAAGTAGCCGGTTTGTTAAAAAGCCGAAACAAAAAGGCTTTTACATCTCATTTTATATTCCAAACAGAAATGATGCGATATAGAACAAAAATGGTGCGATTTAAAACAGAAACAGATTTAGAACATGAATGACGCGATTTGGAACAGATGCGATTTAGAGCAAAAAATGGTGCGATTTAGGAATAAATCACACCGCTGAGAGCCAATCAGATTGCACGGATAGCCAGTGATTTCAAAGTGGATGTAATAAAGGGAAAAACGGACTGCTACGTCGCAAACCAATCCGGCAACGGACCTGTACATATTTTTGATAAACTACATGGTCACACGCGACCTAAAGAGTGTGAGGCGGTTTAAGACACAGCACCCTAGTTCCTTAATATGTGGAAAAGTTTAATCAATTGCAAATGATCAGAATACCGGTTTATGCATGACATAGCAATCTGGTGAGCAACCATGTTGAAAAAACCAATATTATGCCTCAAACTGCAATCGAATACAAGAACAATCAACTTGGAAACTATGAAAATGTATTCAAAATGAACAATACGCTATCCTTTATTAAGTTTAGGGCAGCTAATAAGATGTAAGTCGTATTTAGCTCCAGTTTCTTTTTCCTTTCTTTTTTACAAGAATATTGTTTTCCCAGCCCAGGCTAAATATTCTTATTTTTCCTGCCGATTTCAGGCTGAAAATATTCTTGTATTATTCTTTAATTGAATTTAAAAAGAAAAACATTATCATGATACTTTTTAATTTGGGGGTTTATTTTATTTCCCTTGTGCTGTGTACTGTACATGTACATAAGTTTAACATCATGATGTACCATTAATCAAACTGTCATTAGCATGAACATTTGGCTATAGTGGCTAGTGCAGGTTTTTTCGTTTTGTTGGCTAGTTTTACTGGTTGGATCAAGTTCGTCAGCTAAATGGAAGTAAGTTATTCGAAACTAGCTATTGACGCGATATCAAAGTAGAAATGGCAGCTGGTTTGCGGTGAATCGTAAACACAAAGTCAAACAGAAAAGAGTTTAGCAATGGTTTAGAGGAAATGTGGACTATTATGCCTGAGACCAATCCTACATGTTAGCTGGACTCAAGCGAAACATACGCACATGTTTTGAGTAACTACGGCTTACAACGAGTCTTCTGAGCTGAGAGAAGTAACTTGTTCCTCATAAAAAAATCTACTAGCTAAGCTTTCAAAACATAGACCGGCACAGTAGGTAGTTAGTCTCGCTAGTGTGTGCGCCAAAAGGGGAATCATGGTCCTAGGCGTTACTAACGGAGATCGAGGAAACTGGAGATAAGAATTGCTACGTGTCAAAGCACCATGTTCTATTTTGTGAAGAAAGCTAAGGAAAGATTGACGCAGAGTTATCGAGCTTTTCCGGAGCGGGGCGGTCCACGAATTCTATCGGATCGCTTGAAAGCATTGATAACTTTTGAACAAGGGAATACTTCCGTGAAAACTTCGATGGTGAGGCTATAAACTTGTCGCGCGTTGAAAACTTTCATTGTATGAAAATGAGTCTTGTGATGAGCATGCGGTTTATTTTCGGCGATGATTGTAATGACGCGCCATGTTCATTGCGTTTTTACTTTCTGGCAATGATTTGTATTTGTACAATCGTACTTAATCATCGTTCAATACGATGTAAGAAGTAAATATTCTAAAGAATAATCGACCGTCGATTAGGGGAAGGAAAAACTTTTAGCGAAGAAATCCTGCTTCATGTAGAATTAATCGCCTACTCATTTGTTATCTATTGGGGCACCCAACGTCAATTTTCGGAAAATATCTGTTCCGAAGACGATTTGAGATCTAGAATTTTCGGAACATTTGTGGTAAAATTTCTTGCTTGCATGCCTCTCCTAGGATTTGCGAACATCTACAAAAATGGTATAATTGCCCATTTTTAACGGATTTTTACCCTAAATTGGTCACCTAGAATTTTAGGGAGTCTTTTTTCTGGCTGAAATTTTCGAAAAGGTAAGTTTTGATCCCTATAATTTTCGGATCACTAGACTTTCAGCTAGGAAATCCAAACAGATTTAAAATTTTTAGGGGATAAAAATATGCCTATATCTACCGTTTAAATACTAGAATACGTTCAACAATGTTATGTTTAAGTGGTTTTGAACTATATTCTCGTTGGGTGCCCCTGTATCTAATCTCCAAGCAAGCGAGAGTTGCTGCTTTTAAGAGCGTTCTTGTTACTTAACAAATCATGCTGTCATATGTGTCAAAGTTTAATAAGTTGCAAATGATCAGAACGTTTAAAATATCCCTTGTAGTCCCAACTTTATGAGACCAGCCATCATGTCGTGGCAATTCGATAAGTGATCATGTTGCAAAAAAGCGATAAAAGCCTATAAATACAATCAACTTGGAAACTAATTATTTCATTTTATTGAAGCCTGTTAAAAGCAATATACTATGCTTTTATTAATTTAATAACAAAAACTCCATAGTTCGTAGTAATTAATTCATCAGAGGCTGGTAAAAAAAAGCCTAAGTCATACTAATACCAGTTTCCTCAGTTTAATATTACAGAAAGCTTATCATTGCTCGCAAATTAATGCGTAGTAAACAAACAAGAACAAACTTTTCCTTTTAACTAGTTAACATGGAAAACCAATATGTAGACAAAGAAGAATACATGGATCGCTTTTAGTTTAAGAATCGTGAAAAAGTAACGATTTTCTTTAATTTTTTGTTTATTTCTTTATTGTTAACGGTGTTGTTCTGTTACGCATAGTAGGTTATTATGATCCTTTATCAGTTTGAACTCGCTGTTACCCCTCCCTCCATACTTTTCAGCCTGAGGACCCTTTGCAATTTCCCCGCCTTTTTGCGGATGTGTATGATGCCCATATATTTAGTACCAAGTTACCAGTGCTTTTGTGTGTTCACCGTCTTATCTCCCAAGTTTATGAAACTAAACTTAAGTTAACTAAGGCATTAAATATCAGCCCGCCATTACTACATAGCAATTCGATGAATAATCAAGCTTAGAAAAGTAAGGGCTTACTTCAGGCTGGGCAGATATACAGAGGGCTTTCCACAAGTTGCTCGAGATTTTCCAAAACGTTTCCCGTAATTTCTCAAAACGTTGCTCAAAAAACAATCAAAAGTTGCTTTTTGTAATGAAAGATACTCAGAAGTTGCTCGAAAGCCTTAATGTCACAGTTCACGCAGTTTCTTAACTGAAGATGTACGCGCCAATGCCGTTTATTCTTGTTGCTTTTAGCTTTCTTCAGGTCGCTTTATGATTTGATCTGTGCTGGTTAATGTCAACCAGAGGACTGAAAATCTTCTAACTATACCAGTTTTTGTTGGTGCGTGGACGTCATGATTGCTAAGACCAGGATCGAACAAGAGCCCCGGAAATGTTCTGACGGGTGTTTGTGAACCGCACTAGATCGATCATTCAGCGACTAATACGACTAGGTAGCCAGGGTGAAGCAGAGGTGAGAGCACTCGCCTTCCACCATTGTGGACCAGGTTCAAATCCCGCCGTCGACGCCAAATGTGGTTTGAGTTTGACGTTGTTCTTTTCTTTGCCCCGAGAGGTTTTTCGCAAAGTACTCATTTCTAAATTCCAACTCGACTAGGAATGGTAGACGAAGAACCACCACGTGAATGTGCTACCTCTGAATCATTATTCATTATTCATCTGTTAGTTCAGTAAAATTCATGTTAGTAATATGAAATTTCCTTTTTTTCCTGGGGGACAGAGGGTAATAGTCTCATCGGCGAAGCGGTTCGAATGGAGCTTTACTGTCCTTGAAAGATATTGCGAAGTACACTGATCACAGCTTGCCGAATGTTTCGCATCTTCCAGCAGTAGATTAAAGGATTGAGAGATGAATTAAGATGCGCAAGTGTCGTCGAATAATAAAGCAGATGCAACCGCAACTCGGACTCACCAAAAATTCGATAAGCTGCTTTAACGCATATGTAGGGCAAAAAACAAACCACAAACACCACAAACACGTAAAATGTAGCAAGTGCAGTTTTTTTCAGTCTCGCAGCATTTGCCAATTCTCCATTCTGATTCTGCTCTACGTGTTGTAATTGCAGGGCTTGAATCTGATCTGTGTGGTGACGTACGATTGAATATATCTTGCAGTAAATGAATCCCGTTGTAGTGAGACAAACTGCCCCAAAAGTTGCAATTATAATGTCTGGAACGTTTTCTAAAATTCTGTTCAACGCGAATGAGGAAAGACATAAAAAAACACCCATACTGAAATTACTACAGCGATAACACGCTTGTGCGTCACAAGTTCCTGGTACCTGAGATGAAGATAAATGGCTAAGAATCTGTCGACAGTTAAAGCAATGATGCCCAAGAATGAAGCAACGCACAGAAAATAGCCAAAAACGCGCTGCGCTGTATATACCGTATAATGGAGTCTTTTGTTAGCGCTCTGTTCTATGTTCATTATAAGACGTGCAATGTAGAGAGGAAGGACAAGCAAACCAACACCAAGATCAGAAACAGCGAGACTTAGAAGTAATGTTTTTAAAGGCTTTGGAAACGATGATATTTTTCTTAGGGCTTGTATTGTTATGAAGTTTAAAACCAAGGCTGTGAAAAGCAAGAAAGCGTTGAAGAAGCAGTTGGCGACGAGCGTTGAATAAAAGTCTCCAGTTCCTGCCATTCTGTAGGATGTTGAAAACGCGTCTTTAGCTTCTTCTGCCATTGTATAGACTGTTCCTTTAAAAAACTGTTGAAGTCTTTTGACAGGCAGATGCTCTTGCCTTTGGTAAGTTACCTGATCGGTCTCCAATAGTTCAGAATGTGGTTCACATTCTTCCTTAAATTATCGCATGGCTGAGCGACCTAGCTTGTCCTCTTCCGTACTTTGGTAATCTTGAAATTGTCCACTAACCAGACAGTGTTAAATATCAAGACGTTTGAACACCAAGAATTCCCTTAACAAAAAATTTCAAACAAGTTAATGTAGCCACATAATAACACATTCAATCTTGAATAATTTTTTTCTTTTGATAAGAACGATAAATCGAGCTTAACAATTAATAAGCTTAAGGTAACGCATACTGACGCTATTGGAGTTTTTGAGGATATGATAAATGCCAGTAAAAAGGTGATAATGACATAAAGAATAGAAAGAACCTATTTGGTATTCTGGCTAAAAAGTGACTGAAAAGAACTGTTGCAAACTAATTGGGTCAAAGAAACTTATTAAAGGCATCATTATGAAAATATATTGACATCAAGTCCAATCAAAATTTATTGAGCCCAAACAGGCTAGGTGCTTTTAGGAATCGCGGAAAGATAGATTCTTTTATTTTATTTTATTTTTTTATTTTGGGCACGGCTTTTTGTTACTTATTTATTTATTTATTAATTTGTAGTATTTTTTTCAAAAATCTATGGCAAAAAGCTTAGACCCGCCGACAATAAAAACCCGATATTGTCCTCCACGACGACTGTACGGGGGGGCCTTTTTGTTACCAGCCAATGGCTGATAGGGCTGCCCTGCCTGAATAAAGTTGACTTGACTTGAGTGACCTTTAAGAGCTGTGTTTGTTAAAACATCGTCTCCTACATTGCTCAGAAGTCACACAAAAAATTAACTACAATGTTTTTTGTCCTTTTAATAGTTTTAAATACACCATTCCTGACACACTGTCATTAACAAATATTTTTGGTGAACGGAATGGCGCGACTCCGACGGTACTAGCCAACGCATGTTGCCTGCCTACGTGTACAGGTACGCTACAGTCTGTAGCTGTATAACTTTTGAAGAGCTCTGCAAGTGTTTTCTTTTATGGATGAGACTCAAATTTTTGAAACAATAAAGTTTACAATCGCAAGAAGTTCCCAGTATCCCATACTCGTAACATCCGAAATATCCACGTATTTGAAATAAAAAGAATATGAATATGACAACATCATTACACCAAAATCTGGATTTATTTTCATTTTAAACGAAACGCGAATGGCCGAGCTTTGTAAGTGTTGAAAGTTGAAAGTTTGTTATGATCAGGATTACAATGACATCGGAGTTGTCATAGCAACAGAATGACGCCATTAGCTACTTTACTTGCTGTATTTCTTGGCACTGGGAACTTTTCTTACAAAATCGTTTACGGGGGCTTTTCCTCCTGTTTTTCCTCCAATAAGTGCTACGATCGATGTCCGTTAAGTTTAAGTAAAATCTGTGAGAGGAACTTCTTTGCTTTGGAGGATTCATCCGTTTTCGAATGAGACTGACCTTCAGCTTCCGCCATAGAATTGAAAGTTTTATACAGTCTTAAGTTTTAGCAGCTGTGTAGAACTTTTAAGGAACACTGCAAGAAGAGACTGATGCTGGAAATAATTCTTTGCGAGACTTACTGAATATTCTCCAGAGATTCTCTTCCACCTCCGATGGCAATTGGTTTTTAACTGAGTACTGTTGATTCTCTTCCACCTCCGATGGCAATTGGTTTTAAACTGAGTACTGTTGAGTCTTCCGCGACAAGAGTAAAAAAGGTCCCTAACTCTTACTTATAATATACAAACTGGCCTTAATTGAAATTAAAACTCTGCTTGTCTGAACCCGGAATTTAAAATTTAAATGTGACGTCCTGATCATCATACAGCAATTGGAATATATTTTCACTTTAACTGAATTGCGATAGGTCGAGCTTTGTTCGTCAGTCAAATGGAAGAAAGTTGCTTGAAACTACTGGCTCATTATTAAAATGGCATAGGCAGCTGGTTTCCTATGAATCGCAAAATACACAGTTAAACAGTAAGAGTTAGCGATGCTTGAGGAGAAACGAGACTTTTAAGTCGCAAACCAATCCAATATATTTCCTGGACTCATGTACACATTTTTTCATTGATAAACTACATGGCCACGCGCGACACAAAGAGTGTGAGGAGATCAAGAGAGAAAAAACTCTTAAACCATAACAAAAACTTATGGTCCGCTTAAAACAAAGACACAGTAGCCTAGTTACTTAATAGATCATCCGGTCCTTAATATGTGTCAAAGTTTAATCGCAAATGATCGGAATATTTACGTATCATGACGTGAAAGTTCGATGAGTTATCATGTTGCAAAAAGCAAAACGTGCCTTAAACTTCAATCAAATGAAAATGTATTCAAAAACCATAAACTATCCTTTATTAACTGTAAGGCAGCTAATAAGAGGTAAGTCTTATTAGCTCCAGTTTTTTCAGTTTGATACACCCTCTTTCTTTTTTATAAGAACGTTGTTTTCCTGGCCGAGGCTGAATGTTGTTTTTTTTTTCTGCCTATTTTAAGGTGAAAATATTCTTGTATTATTCCTAAATAATTATATTTAAAAAAGAAAGAATTTATCATGATATTTTTTTATTGACTAGTTTCGCCACAGATATTTGAGCTCCTTTTATTTTTAACCGAAACGCGATAGGTCGAGCTTTGTAAGAGTTGAAGTTTGTTAGTCAAATGGTAGAAAGTTATTTGATACTACTGATGCAATATTAAAGTAGAAACGGCAGCTGGTTTGCAGTGAATCGTAAATACACAGTCAAACAGAAAGAGTTTAGACGAAATGCCGACCATTAGTTTGAAGAATAATCCAACGTTTTTGCTTGACCCAAGCAAAAATTATGCACATGTACTGAGCTAAGACGGGTCGGAGGATGAGAGAAAAGACTTATTACCCTTAAAAAAAAAAACAGACACAGTAGGTAGTTACTTAATAAATCATCCAGTTCTGTATGTGAAAGTTTAATCAGTTAAAAACAAATGATCAGCATGTTTAAAATATCCCTTGTAGTCTAAACTACAATCGACTTCGAAATTATGTTTCAAATTTCATTTCATTGAAGATGTATCGAAAACACTTCCTGCCTCGATTAGCTTAAGCTAACTGCGGGTTGTGTGAAATATTTCCTTTTCAGTTTACTTCAATTCATTATTTGTAAACTTTTTCCTGTGGAGTACAATGGTTGTTGTTGTTGTTACGCCTTAGTAGTTCGTGTTGATTTAACTCATCCGAGGCAGCTACCAAAACTTAAGTCATATTAACTCCGGTTTCGGCTTCAGTTTAACATTATAATGAAAGTTCAATATTGCTCACAATTGAATGGGTACTAGAAAAACAAGAGGATACCGTTTCCCCCAGAGATTGTTGAAGAATTGTCATGATTATGGACGACCGCTCCTAATCAGCTTCAAACAGGAAAAAGAACGCGTAGACAAGAAAAGAATATACTCTTCAGTTTAAGCGTCAGAAAATAACTATCTGTGTTTCTTCCCTACCTCCCTAAAAACAGAAATTGTGGGGGAACTTTCATGATTATGAAAGAGCGCTCGTAACCACCGAACAGGAAAAACAATGTGTAGGAGAAAACACATGTTAGTTTAAGAATAGTGGAAAATACACGATTTTGTCTTTTTTTTTTTTTTCATTTTCACGTTGTTAATGCTGTTGCTCTGTTATACATCATTGGTTACAATAATTACTTTTTTGGACTCGCTCTTTCTAAATGGCTATGGAAACATTAAGTATGGTCTCGTACAAAGTTTCAACGTTGTTGTAAATTACTCTCACCCACGTACNTTTTTTTTTTTTTTTTTTCATTTTCACGTTGTTAATGCTGTTGCTCTGTTATACATCATTGGTTACAATAATTACTTTTTTGGACTCGCTCTTTCTAAATGGCTATGGAAACATTAAGTATGGTCTCGTACAAAGTTTCAACGTTGTTGTAAATTACTCTCACCCACGTACCGAGAGTTGCTTGCAAGACTTTCAACTGAGACATGAGGAAACTGTGTACTTCGGTTCAACCCTGGGCCTTGATAATTAATTGCTTCGTCAAATATTATGGTTCTAAGTTTTTAATCTCAGAGCAAGAAGCTCTTTGCTTGATATTGGAGCTATATTATATCTGCTTTCTGATCTGGTTCTATTATGGTATTTTAAATTATTAGGATGTCATTTAGCCATCGATCATTTGTTCCAATCGGCTGCGCTCTCAGGAGAGCTCTTTCTCAGATCCCAGTCTGAAACTCAGTTTCAAATGTAGTGATATTATTAGCAATTTTTGGACTCGACAAATTAAAAAAACCCTGTTTGAAAGGTATATTTTTACCTGTCTTCAAAACATTTTAACTTTTTCACGTGAACTTTATTGATATGAATTAATTAGTCTTCGTCTTTCTCAACAAATAGGCTGTGTTGTTCTTCTTATCATTATTCAGTTCTTATTAGTATTATTCTTCTTATTATTTTTATTATGATAATAGTTATTATTATTATTATTATTATTGTGTTGTTGTTATTGTTGTTGTATCGGTAAATCTTTTCCCCACTCTTGGTACATTCAGTGCGGAAGATTTATTCAATATAGTTTTGATCTGTCTCCTCTTTAGTTAGTTTTCTTCATTGCATGCACTATGCTTAACAAAATCTAGTAAACGTTTAAGACACTTTACCTTACACAGAACTTTTTGCCCATGAAAATTTGGAAACTAGGCCCTCTATTTATCAAGTCACTCGTCATTCATCCTAAACCATTTAGCTTTTTTTACCCTCTTTCTGACTTTGATAAATAATATTTCAGAGTTTCCGTATTAATTGTAATTAGTTATTCCAAAGCAAACCGGAATCTTATGAAGTATACTAGATGATATATTTTTCCCTTTGCCTTTCAAAGGTTTCAGGTCCCGTTCATATTTAGTGTCTTTTTTCCAACTGTATTGCCTGAAAGCTTTTATTTTTACCAGAGAGTAAAAGGCCAAATTATCCCGAGCAGATCCTTTCTTTAGTGCGGACCAATCCCAATGACATTTCGAAGTATGTCCATAACAGTTTGTCGAATGTGTCTCATCTTCCAACAGTAGATCAAGGGATTGAGAGATGAATTAAGATACACAAGAGTCAATGTGAAATACCATAAATGAGATAACAAGACAGTGTCACCATTGGTCCTGGCAAATACAACACAAGATATTGGCAAATAGCAAGCTAAATACACAACATAAACGTAGAATGTAGTCAGTGCAGATTTTCTTAGCCTTTCTGCATTTGCGGCCTTTTCTCCATTCCGTAATTCTTGCTGTACTTGCAGGGCGCGCATTTGATTTCTGTGATGTCGTACCGCTGCGTATATCTTGCAATAAAGCAATCCTGTAATTATGACACAAACAACTAAAATGACAGCTCCCATAATAAAAGAATCATACAACTGACGTAGGAAGGAAATTGATGCACTAAACACCCAGATTGAGATCACTGCAGCAACAACACGCTTGTGAGTTACAAGTTCCTGGTATCTGAGATGAAGCTGAATCGCCAAGAATCTGTCAAAAGTTAATGCAAAAATGCCAAGATGCGAAGCCGAGACCAATACTTTTTTCTGGATTAGATACGCATTGTGTACTGAATTATAAGCGGTGCCGTTTGTGTTTTGGTCTATTTCCATCACAAGAATTGCAACGTACAGTGGTTGGACTAGTAAGCCCACACCTAGATCAGACACAGCCAGGCTTAGAAGCAATGTTTTTAAAGTCTTAGGCAACGACGACGTTTTTCTGAGCGCTTGTACTGTTATGATATTTAACACGATGCTGGTGAAACACAAGAAGCGTTGAAGACGCAATTAACAACAAGTGTCAAATGCACGCCTTTAGCAGTTGCCATCTTTTGCAAAGGACCCTGATCAGTGTTCAGTTTCTAGTATAACAATGCAAAGGAACTTCATTGCTTTGGAGGAATCATCCGTTTTCGAATGAGACTGACCTTCAGCTTCCGCTATTAAACGAAACGTTTTATACAGTCTTAAGTTTTAGCAGCTGTGTAGAACTTTGGAGGAACTCTGCAAGAAGAGACTGATGCTGGAAATAATTCTTTGCGAGACTTACCGAATATCCTCCAGAGATTCTCTTCCTCCTCCGATGGCAATTGGTTTTAAACTGAGTACTGTTGAGTCTTCCGCGACAATAGTAAAAAATGTCTCTAACTCGTACTTATAATACACAAACTCACCTTAATTGAAATGAAAACTGTGCTTGTCTAAACACGGAATTTAAAATTTAAATGTGACGTCATCACTCAGTAATTTGAATATATTTTCCTTTTTAGCGAAACGCGATAGGTCGAACTTTGTAAGTGTTGAAGTTCGTCAGTCAAAAAGGAGGAAAGTTGTATGAAACTACTCACGCAATACTAAATTAGCATCGGCGGTAGGTTTTCAATGAATAAGAAAATATACAGTCGAACAAACAGAGTTGAGCGATGAATTAAGGGAAAAACGGACTGCTACGTCGAAAACCAATCCGGCAACGGACCTGTACACATTTTTGATAAACTACATGGTCACACGCGACCTAAAGACTGTGAGGCGGTTTAAGACACAGCACCCTAGTTCCTTAATATGTGGCAAGTTTAATCAATTGCAAATGATCAGAATACCTGTTTATGCATGACATGGCAATCTGATGAGCAACCATGTTGAAAAAAGCAATATTATGCCTCAAACTACAATCGAATACAACAGCAATCAACTTGGAAACTATGAAAATGTATTCAAAATGAACAATACGCTATCCTTTATTAACTTTAGGGAAGTTAAGAAGATGTAAGTCGTATTTAGCTCCACTTTCTTTTTCCTTTCTTTTCTACAAGAATGTTGTTTACCCGGCCCAGGCTAAATATTCTTATTTTTCCCGCCGATTTCAGGCCGAAAATATTCTTGTATTATTCTTTAATTGAATTTAAAAAGGAAAAAATATCATGATACTTTTTAATTTGGGGGTTTATTTTATTTCCTTTGTGCTGTATACTGTACATGTACATAAGTTTAACATCATGATGTACCATTCATCAAACTGTCATTAGCATGAACATATGACTATAGTGG